GGGATCAAACTTCTAAAGTCATTTCAAATTAAATGTGAAGTAGGCGTTGTAAATTTTAGATAACTTCTTAATTTTTTTATTATTCGTCAATGGACCTAACCTCTCAAACATACAAACATAGAAGTTCCTACAGTCACTTCCCCAAGTCGATCAAAGGCGGAAGGCCTATTATTGGGAACAATGACGTCATCTTCAAAAGTTATATCATTATTGCTTGCCCTTCTTATGGAGATGCGAATTAATGGTGGTTGGATATAGCCTAAACCTTCATGTGCCTGCCTAATTGTATCTTCTAATGGGAGTTTCCCTAACACTGATGGCTCATTGGGGTTGTATCTAACCTTCACAAATAACTTGTAAGCATTAGGATCAAAACCTTCACTTGTGCGTTTCATAGGTAGTGCCATAACTTGCACCTGACTTTGAGTGATTGTTTTTCCAGGAAGTTTTGAAGACAAGGTTATTGCATCAATCTGTCTGATAGGAAGAGTTAGTCCTCTTATTGTATCTTCTTGAAGGTGAGATGATTTGAATTCTTCTTTCTTTAGTTTTGAAACATAGCGAAGTCCAGAAGTTAGTTTCTTCTTTAGAGACATGATATTCCATTCAGTAAGATTAGGACAAAGTTCTTTAGTGTCAACTTTCGCCTTTCCAGTGGCCGGATCAAATCTTTTGCTCATGATCTTGTAAGATTTGGTTGATTTGACATCATTGGATTTTGCCTCTTAGCAACATAACCCTTTAAATAGAATTTTGCATCGGCAAAGTGTGTCTCAACTTCAGTGAAAGGATTATCATCCGCAACAATTTTCATTTCAATTCTGCCTTCAAGATACTTCATACATTGATAGTAAGAAGATGAATCGATCTTATTCTCATGTACCCAAGGCCTGCCAAGCAATATATTTTATGAGGTCTTTGCATCGATAACGTGCATCCATGCGCTTGATCGCAAATCTTCCATTTGAATTTTTAATTTAATAGAGCCTTTGGACCTTTGACCCCCTTGATTGAACCCTTGTATCAATAAACAACTTTCACTAAGTTCTTCAGTCGCAATGCCGAGTTCCTTTGATGTGTGGATAGGCAGAATGTTGACTCCAGATCCTTCATCCATTAAGATTCTATTTATCTTCTTCTCTAGCACGTGACCCACCATATACAGAGGACGGTTATGTAATGTTTCACCAAAGAGAAGATTATCATCTGTGAATGTGATTTTTGTATCACATACATGTGCTTCTTGAGAAAAAGGTTCAATGGACTTTTCAAAAGATGAAGGAGAGATTATTGACGAGATTTCCCTTGTTGCTTTTTCTTCGCTACTAGGAGACACTTTTGGTGAGGCTTCTGTCGTTGTTCCTTCTGCTTGGCCAGTTGGAGACACCTTTGTTATTTCTTCTTTATCAGCATTAAAGCATGATGCCTCGATATTTTCTTGAGTAGACTTTGTGCGCAACCAACTTGGTAAGAATTCCACTAAAGTTATAGGACATCGGGGTTTCTGGTAGTGATGCACTTCTACTTTTTCCTTCTTTGGGCGATTGATTGATTTTGCTTCCCCAGTTTCTTCACCATCTTCTATCTAATTGGTTTCTATAATGACTCCTTTCGTAAGCTTGAGTTGTTGCGTCTTCTCCTAGTCACAAGAATCCAACCTTCATCAACATCTGTATCAACTTGAGATTGCTCTTTTTCTAATGAGTCTCCTTTATGCTTTTCAGAGACACATATTTGGACCAAATCGAGTGAGCCGAATGTGACAAATATTTGGTTAGAACTAGCTTTCTCATCATCAAGGACAATCTTCTTTTCTCTAACCAATCACATCACTCTATCCTTGATGACAAAACATTCTTCAAGAGGATGACTTACAAGTCTATGATACTTGCAATAATTTGGGTCATCAGCTTTACCAGCTTCATCAGGTCGCTTTATCTCCAGCAACTCAATGAGCTTTAACTCTAGTAACTCATCAAAAATATCAGAAACGTCAGAATCCAAGAAGGGGTATTCCTTTTCTTGCATCTCTCATAAAGTCAACTTTTGGTTCAAACGTTCTTGAAGATTCATTCTCACATTTTTCTTCGTGCCCTCCTTCGTATTAAACTTCGCAGGCAACACATTAACATTCATGGATCTTTTTTGTCACTCCTGGGCACAAATTTACTCCATCTTCTCTTGGCTCTTGCTTTTCTCTTCCTTTACGGGGATCATGGATAGAATTCACATCTTTCCCAGCAGAGGACATGCTCAACTCGATATCATGGGAACGAGTAGCGAGATCTTCGAAGGACTTTGGCTTTATTCCTTGTAAGATGTAAAGATGCTCCCAATAAATCCCTTGAATACACATTTCTATCGCAGAAGCTTCACTAAGCCTATCCTTGCAATTCAGGCTCGCGTTCCTCCCCCATTTATAAAATCTATGATTGGTTCATCCTTTATTTGGCGAGTATTTGTGAGTTCTACCATACTTACTGTACGCCTTGTGCTATAGAAGATATTGAGAAAACCGTGCTCTAGTTTTTCCCAACTATCGATAGAACTGGGCTCGAGATCCATATACCAATCAAAGGCATTTCCCTTTAAAGAGCAGACAAGCTCCTTGACGAGGTGGTCACTGTAGGTCCCAACATTATTACATGTTTCCATAAAGTATGCAACGTGTTGCTTTGGATTTTCTTTGCCCTCAAATTATTGAAACTTGGTAGGTTGATAACCAGCATGCATTTTAAAGTTATCAATTCTTGCAGTGTATGGTCTGGCATACATATGATAGGACTTGTTAGAGACTTCATACTTATCTTTAATAGTGATTTCAATGAACTCCTTCAAGTGATCGAGTGGGATCATTCCTTTGGAAGAAATTGGCATCTCAGGAACAAGCGGTGCTTTCTTCGCAGGATCTCCAATATCTTGAACTTCAACACATTTTCCAGGCGCATGACTCGTTTCTCCATCTAAAAGTACTTCCACTTGATCCATCAACTTATAGATTCTATAATCTTCGTGTTGTACATGCTTTGTTAGTCCTTCAACCAACTTTTCCAGATTTGCGAGTTGTTCCTCAGGGGAAGAAGCAGCAGTCACCATTGTTTGCATGATCATTGGAGATGTAGGAGAGTAACATGGATTATCGCGTAAGTTGATCTTCAGTGGACTCACGTTACATGATGCACGAGGAGATGATTCATCTGTTGAATCATAGCTCTTCCTTGTCGTAGAGTTCTTGGAACCAGATTGCTCAAGTTGAGCTAAGGTCTTCTTATTTTTTTAGCAACACTGATTTCCCCTTCTAAAGCATTTGTGGAGGAAGTTGATCCTCTTGGAGTTGCAGACCCAAAAATTGGAGTTGACGCGGACGACACTTGAAGTGTTTGTTGTCCTAGCATAGTAGCTTTGCTCCTTGTAACAACTCCAAAACTTCCTAAGGTAACACCCAAAATGTCTTCAACTACAGTAGAGAACTTGGAGCTAGTGGCCTTAGAGGCAGTTGATTGAGAGTTGTTCTTCATGGAATTCATCTCGATGTTCTTTAAGGCTTGAAAAGTTGAGATGAGAGGTAGGGATTGTCCCACTGGGCGTGCCATAAATTGTAGACAATAAAATTTACGTCGAGAAAACAATAATTAGGAACGGAAAATTATAGCAACAATCGATTTATTATTTCAAGTGTTGATCTTAATCTCTGTCTTGATCTTGATCTTGGAATTGAACTTGAACTTGGACTTGAACTTTATGTTGAACTTTATCTTGATCTTGAGCTTGAACTTGAACTTTATCTTGATCTTGACTTCTAGTTGAATCTAAGGGCTTCGAGTTTGATCTTGAATCCGGCAGTCTTGATCTTGATCGTTCTTGATCTTTATCGTTCTTGAAACTTGAATTTTTTAATTCTTGAACTTGTAGAGAAATCTGCAACTTTTGATCCACGAGCTTTTCCTAGAAGTTAAAATTTTTGGTTCTCTATTCTGAATTATGAGACCCCTATTTATAGTTTTAGAATAGAGGAGTGATTGGAATAGGACTACCTTCGACCAATCAGATTTAAGTGAAATATCATATGAGCTTTATAGAGTAGACTTTAATTAAATTTATATTTATGTGAATCTAAATAATTAAATCAATTATATTAATTCATAATATTTATTTGGACTAATATATTTATTGATTTAATATAATTCAAACCATTTAATAAATTTATATTTAAATAAATTTTAGATGATTACATGGCCATCCGCAACAGTAATTGTACTATTTCATTAAACTCGCCATTTTAAATAAATTAGTCTTGATCAAATTTAAAATGTATATAATGTCCTTGTTAAAAATTGAAAAGTCAATATCACAAAATAGGATTATGGTCCTATTTTTATTTTTATTTTTATTTTGACTAGACAATTCTAATTCAAAATGACAATTATTTTTTTCTTAGTATTTTTAATGGTGTTTCAACTTATCTTGATAATTCAATACTTGATATCATTTGTTAATATGTCAGAAAAAATTGCTCCTCAAAGCAAATGAAATTTTCTCATTTGTTTCAATTTAATTCTTAAAAATATATTTTTAAATTTTACTATATACCGCACGAAGCGCCATCGAGTGTATAAAAAATTGCATCCTTTCAAAACGTGTCATTTGCTTATATGTCCTTAGGGGGACATTTATGTATTTCACCTAAAATTTGTTATGAAATGATATAATTGAGTTTGATTTAAACTATGCAACTAGAGTATTTGTGAGTGATACCTAAGTTTTACTTGTCTCTATTAATAATATCAACACCTATTTCTTACCATGCATATGATATGAAAGAGCAAGTAGAAAGTGAACATCAATTGACACAAGTAAAACTTAGGATCTAAATCCATATGCAAACTGAATTGTGAAATAGGTGAAAACCAATTGTACAATTCATACATAAGTCACTTGCTGCATCCCCAAGTTGGGAACATGTCCTGTCCAGAGTTAAAGTCAACATAGCACTAGCAAAATGGCAGTCTAAAGAAACAAATGGCCCAATCTTCAAACAAGAAAGTTGCAGACAGATAGTAATCCAATAATGCTTCCACTAATCCCAAAAAGATGTCACTTTCTTCCTTTACTCTCTGAACGACAGACAGAATCAAGATTTCAAGTTTATGATTCTACTCAAGTTACTCAGTTCTACTTATTACTTCTTTGACATGTAAATATTCAATGAATTTTTAAGAAAAATGTAAATTTTGAACCAAAGTTACTAGCTTCAGTCAAATCCACAGCCAACACTCTTCCTCCGCCCCAGGCAAAGGCTTATCTTTCATTCGTAGATTAAGCAACATTATTTATACACAACAAGCCATTCTCCACAACAACTGTGTACTAAAACATGTCTGCTTTTCACATCTTTTCTTTTGCTTTTTAGGGATTCTTTTAATCTTTCTTTCCACGCTTTCACAGTACAATGAACTTTTCTATTTCCTGGTGGAGGGTGAGTAGCTTCGAGATCTATACAACAAGCCATTCCCCACAACAACTGTGTTTTTAATGCCTTATAAGCTGCTATAGCTTTATTGACTACTAACTGTCCCTGGATTTTCTAAATCCACTTGATAATCTTGACGAGTACTTATGTGGGACGGTATTTCTGTTTGATTCAGCTGGGAATTCTGATGTTGATCTAACGAGGCTTGTCTCCGCCTTTTCCATCTAAAGAACTCTATAAGTATAGAACATCCACACATTGCAACCCCCAAGCCAGCAAATGTTGACAGAAGAATTGAAAGAACGACTTGTACATGAACCTGAAAATGTATAGTATAACATTATAATTAAGGTCCAACTGGAAGCGGACACAACCTTATTCAATGGGTTCAACTGAATTCTTAACACAAAATGTAAATATATGTGTGAAAAACTATCAAACTTTCATTAAGTATTCAATCATGAACTCATGATAGTGATAACAACTTAAAGGTTGAAGATGTCGAGTTTAAATTTTGCATCCACCTTTGGAATCTTGATCAGACATAGTGTCCCTAATTCATTCAGATCTACACATTTAGGAATTAGAATTGCTTACCAAGGAGTAGAACATATGAGCAAAGAATACCACGAGGATGAACTGAATCGACGCATAAACCCAAACAAACCTTCTCTTCACTACCAAAAAATTAGAAAAAAATGTTTTTTTTGTCAGAATACAAAAGGAAACACATATGAGCTTAAGATATTCTACCAGCATTTGTTATGAAATATATCTATGACCTTCAATTGATCAAAGATTTTATAATGTTCCAACTGAGCAGAAGATGACATACCCATGGTTGACGACGCCAAAGACGAAAGCAGACCAAGTACACAAGAAAAGGGAACTGATATTGCTATTGCACCTGTACCCATTGATCCGACCTGCAGATGGGACAATACTAAATCAATATGAGATCGATGACGGACCGTTTCTTTATTGAAGATACTTCTAAATTACCAGAAGCTGCTCAAGAAAGCAAAAGTAGGCAAGCATGCTGACAATGACAAGAATTGGTAGTTCCTGTGATACCCTGTGCAAAATTTCATGTTGTGAGTCAATAGTAGATGTATCAAATGGTTAATCATCATTAAAATTGAGTGCAGTACTTTCCATCGAAATATTATTCTTGCTTATTTCAATGATCCTCCTAAGTACTTCTGTTATTATGTATATACTATCAGAAATTCAATGTGTAATCTTAGTATTCGGACTAAATTGGGAAATCAAATAAGATGGAGCACCTAATATAAGACCAAGAACTACGAGATCAGCATGCTTAAGCTGGATTTATGTATGTATCTCGTTTTAACACGAATCTAGAAGAGACATGATATTACAAAAAATTCCGAATAATGAGATAGCCAGAAAATCATTTGAAAGGGAACACTGCTTTCTATTTTGAGCTGGAGGGATACTTGTTTAGCAGGTAAGATACTCGGTCTTCACTCTTCTTAGCTCATAAAGAAAAGAATAAATACACTCACCTGAATCTGTTTATTTCCAAGTGCTGAAAACTATTAGATCCCACATTTGCACTTTGGAGGCGACGAAGTGTGACAGGCAGGTTTCGAACTTCTTGCTTGCACACATCACATGTTCTGTTACCTTTTACACTGAACCATTTGAAAGCACATTCTTGATGAGCCAAAGCAAGTTCACCTTTGCAGCTGCATTCCATCTTGAGTGTCTCCCCACCTTCACATAATTCAACCAGACAAATTCGACAAACAGCTTCCTCTTCAGGTATATCTTCACCATTTGGCTCTTCATCTTCTGAGAAATAACACATTGATTAGATAAAAATGGGAGCATGCATGTACATGTGGTGCTCATATGCTCACCACATGTTAACTTCATAACGAAAGAAGCCTCATCGCATCTTTCTATCAGAAAGTGTTCAAGTACAGTGACCTTGCGGAGCATGTGATTGCTTATAAATTGTAAAGATATGACACATGGGCTTCACACAACCCCAAAAGCTAGCTCATGAGGGGAGGGGATTGCCCAAGTCCATATAAGTAAACCACCAGTTCATTTCCCGACCAATGTAGGACTCTTACCTTATTATAACATAAATCAATAATTACTTGGATCATACAAACAATTATTTACCAGATACTTTAGCTGGAACTGTGGAATCCCCATCCTTCCCTTGAGGGGTTGAAGGAATGACTCGAAAGAAAGATTCAACTCTCCTAGTGCGTCGATCTTTGTTAATGACCGGTAGAGAAAGTGATCGAGAAATCCGCAGTTGTGTTTCTTTTGGCTACAGTAAGAGCAGATCACATTTCAAGCTATTAAACAAAATTGTTGAACGCAAAATCATTACTTAAGTCCTTCAGCATGGAAGAACTCTTCACTGGACTCTGCATATACTTCACATTAATGATGTTTAGAATGAAACACCATCTAGATGTACAGAGCTTTGCAATAAGCAAATGTTTAGAATGAAACAGCATCTAAATAAACAAACTTCGTACAGAGCACTTACACCAAATGTCAGAGCTCTGCTCATACTTCCACTTGCAGACTCCGGATTTGAATGATCAATTGGTGTAACGGGTAAAGATGACGTCCTTTTGACACGTGGTGTAAATAATTTAGTGAATGACCATGACCTTGGTATAGACACCTTCTCTTGCGGCACCATGGCTGAAGTATCTGAATCTGGCAAGGTTGCCTTTTCTGTATCTGAATTCATATTACGCAATTTGAAGCTTAGTCTTGGCAAAAGATTCTTGATGGATGATTTGCCTCTGCATGAGGAGGGACTAGGAAAAGCGTTTACTCTCGAATTAGAAGGACTAGGCGTCAAAAGGAAATTCACCCTTTTTGGTGTAGGTGTGGGTGTTGAAAGCATTTTAACTTGCACAGACTCTTGATTAGCGGCATCCGATGATTTGGAAGGTATCTCCACAAATAGATTTGGTCTCTTCCATTGCTTAGCATGTTCACTTTCTTCAGTAATCCCTGAGGAACTTTCGCCCTGAAAAGAAAAAAACACGTTGTAACTCATTCTATGAAACCTGAACCATTGCTCATCAAGACCGTTAGACAGCATGTCAAGGTGACAATTAGAAATCATGCCAATCCAAGCATCCTTAAAGAATACTCACAAGCTGGATGGAAATATAACAGAAATATGTCTTCGAATACAAAGACAACTACTTGCTTAAAACTTAAAACATTTCGAATGCAGTTAATTTCTGCTGAGAACAAGTGCCAATAGATCAGTTTTGAAAGAAACAGATAGTTGATGTTGTATGCCTTTTGCAATGGAATATGACAGAACAGACATATTAGTTTGAAGTAGCATCTCATTTTGGTGGCATTGTTTGTCTAAGAAGCAACGAGCAAGTTATCTCAGAAGAAGCAGAGGCAGATTCAAAATTTAAAAAGACTTTGGGTGCATCAAAATGTCTTTACGTATCTTAAACTTCCATGTACAAATCCGTGATCTGACACTGAGGCAGTTTGGTGTATATACACTACTATTACTACTATACCAAAATTGTCTTGATACACGAACGGACTTACAGTGGACAAGAGAAGCCCATAAAGCACCACTGCAGAACTTGACAGAAAAAGGCGCTATGGATTAGATCTCCCTAACATCATCTAAACACAAGACAGAAAGAAAAACTCCCGCACAAAAATGCTTTTCAATGGATAAGTGATATTTTTTATTTCTATCAAGGTTATAAGAGAAGAGCTTTTTTCACATTTTTCTCCAGCTTATATATGCTTCCTAACATCAACGAGCATTCAACAATTAGTTATGCTGGGACTATTTCTTTTCCAATTTGATATATTAGAGTAGTTCTAATAGTCCATGTATTGGTAATAACATGGTTTAGTGACACACCCTATGATACTAATTAGGTGTATAACTAAATTAGATTTTCTAACACATCCTATCAAACGACCCCATGAAACCCCACCTAGTTCTGCTTCCATAGCAGCAGCATAAACTGCAGTAGTTATGAAAAAACTCATTACTCTGTCTGTGGATTCAATAATCGAATTAGTGGAAAACAAATCAAGAGATAAATAACAAGTGTATAATCCTTAGTTCCCAAACCAAAAATCAAGAAAAGAAAGCAAAAGAGATCAGAGAGCATCTTTGTTTGGTGTTTCACCTGAGGAATTTGAATAGCAACTCTTTCACAAACACTACTTCTAACATATTCATCATACACCTCAGCCATTGATTTATCCTTCGCTTCACACTTCATCATGTAATAAAGATGAAAAAAGACCCAATTCTGGTCTCTGTATTACCCTGAAAACTGGAAAACACTACACTTTAGATGAACAAGATGCTACTAGTATATAATAAAATAAATATTTCTAAAGCTAAGTGAATGAAAAGCGAAAAATAAATAAGGATGCTTTTATTATAATGGAATGTTAGTTAGTTGGTACTTGCAATAAATATAAGCAAATGGAAAAGTCAACAGTAAAGACACTCACACGACTAACCTCCTACTATTAATATTTCCTCCATCCATTTTATATCGTAACTAAGAAATTATAAATACAAAAAATACTTTATCAATTTACTTCTGTAAAAAATTTATTTTTTTTATAAATAAATATAAACACTTTTTAAAATAATTAATTACAAGAAAAATATTGAAAATGTTTAATTAATATTTTCTTAGTTTAATAAAATGGACAATTTCTCTCTGTCCAACAATAGTTATCTATTATTAACTTGACACATTCCTTTAAAAATAATAGATAAAATGAGTAATATTATTAAATTATCTTTTGATTTTATTAAATTTAATATTTGAAAAAATGTATTAAATAAATAATTAAAATAAGGATAAAATAGATTCAAAAAATTAAAACTATTTTTTAATTTTCTAAATTAGATAAATATTATTAAATAACTATTTTAATATAATAAACAACTATACTTAGAAATACTACTTCTTTAGCATAGTAATCCGACGGAGGGAGTACAATATATGTATGCCCGCCAGACACGGGTCTCATCCATTTCTTCAAACGGAACTCTCAGTTTACTCATCACTATCCCTAACATGCTCACTCATTCTATTTCAATTAATGTCATAGCTTCAAGTCTATTATGAAACTATTATCCTATTTTTATATTTAATATGTTTTTTATTCTAACATTCTCATTTTATTTTATTACCCTTATAGGAACTACATTGCCATGTGTATATTAACCCATCTTTAATATAAGATTATCAAATTTAAAACCCCTATTTACATTCTTAAACTTTATGTCCACTACGGAAAAAAATCAACTTATAATTTGGTTTGACTTAGTATAGTATTAAAAAAAAATTATATTTTTCAGGATAAAAAAATAGGTATAACGACACTTGTTTCATCCCATCAATACAAGTTAGCCTATAGGTGTGCAAAAATCGAACCAACCGATTCTAAAAAAGTGTTATTGGTTTATTATTTAGTTATTGGGTTAATAGTTAATGACTTTTATATATAAAAAAAAATATCAGGTTATCCGTTTCATGTTGGTTTTTAGTTTTGGCTTATTGGGTAAACTAATAATCCATTAAGACTAGTAATTTACTACTTTTACTTGTACATTAATATTATATGTTAATCTCAAGACCTTACTAGTTATTATCTTTATCATTTAGCCTTCAATTCAACTTCATATCGACTTTGAATTCACAAGTTCACATTATACAAAACGACAAATCTAAAGTAAAAACTCTATCCCTCTTAAAATTCTCTTTGTATTACACTTGTATAGTTTTTTTCATGTTTGTTATTATTGTTTCTATTTTATGAGCATTTGTAAAATAACATTATTGTGTTGTCACGTCAATTTTATTAGAGAAGTCATATATTTATTTTATAAGTATTTTATTATTGGTTAAATAAAAAATCGTACCATTAAGGATCAAAACCGATAAATCAAAATTGATAAAAAGTATCTTATTGATTCGATTATTGGCTTAACATATTGCCTAAACTCAAACTTAACAGATAAATGCAAAAGTAAAATGAAAAGTAATCTCAAAGGAACATTAAAACGGATAACTTAATCAAACTCACTAACATCCCCCAAAACCTGGTTGTCACCCGAACAAGCCTCTAATGTATTACAACTGATTCAAAAATAAATACAAGTCTGGTAGAAGGTGGTCCTTGACCTCCTCATAATACAGTGACTTTTAGCTCCTCTCAAATTTTATTTTTATATCGATATGTAAGGTGAATTAGATCTTTCTCTATGTGGATAAATTTGGGCTCAAGAGGGGGGTGTAAGGGGGGGGGGGGGAGGATATCTGGTTTGTCAGAACTTCAATTAAAAGAGGTAGGCTTGAATTCCTGGTATATATAAAAGAAAACCAATAAAGATACATAGAGATAGATTGTACGTCTATGTGTACTGAGCTCAATGCAATTGTTTCTGAAATAGCACGAAGCTATAAATATGGTGAAGAGGATCGTTGAGATGAAAAACAGTAACCTCACAAATCTCTAGACGTAAATGGGTTGGTCAGTCAGTTCATGACGTCCTACCATTTGGCCCGATTGCGCTCCCACTCTCCTGATTTTACGAGTAATCTCCTCAAACTTAATATCCTAATTTACTACTAATCTACTCAAACTTAATACCTATACACCATGCAAAATCACAATAAATCTTTGAATATCCTAATCACTCTACACAAGATCATGTACTCGTCTTCATTTAAGAGTTTATTGAAATATGACTATCATCTTTGTTTAATTATATTGTTAGGATTACTTATTTAGATTCTTTTCATACGGATATAAAGTGATTATCAATTAGTAAGATTCTTTTTAATGTTTATTGTTTGGAAAACTGATATTGGTTTATCGACCTACAATTTGGTAGCACACATACGTGAAATTAAGAGTGTCAACCAAACGACATTTAAAAAAAATTATATAGTTGTTATGAAACTATAGAATAAGAAGTTTAAACTAGAGAGAAAAGAAGAGAAGACTTGTTATTTCTCTTGATGAATGAATTTACAATGTAGAGGAGCACTCTATTTATAGGAGAAATCTAACTTGGTCCCCAAGTAGGACTCTTTAACCATATCCTAAAAAGGACTCCACATGATAGACATTCACTATAATAGAAATACTTTATAACACTCCCCCTGAATGTCTAATTCGTAGATGATGTGCTTCGTCAAAAACCTTACTAAAAAAAACTTTAAGAAAAGAAAAACTCTAGTAAAGGAAAAGAGTACGCATATCTATTAATACGCATCTAGGTTGCCTCATTAAAAACCTTACAAGGAAAACCCAGTGGGACAAAACCTCGTAAGGGAAAAAGAGTACAACTCATATTAACTCTCCCTAATGAGAACATCAATCCAGAGACTTGAATCTTCGCATTCCAAGCTTGTACACCATCTTCTTGAAAGTTGCAGTTGGTAGAGACTTGGTGAATAGATCAGCCATATTGTCACTTGAACGAAACTGTTGAACATTTATATCACCATTCTTTTGAAGTTTATGTGTATAGAAAAGCTTTGGTGAAATATGCTTTGTTCTCTCCCCTTTTATGAATCCTCCCTTAAGTTGTGCTATGCATGCTGCATTATCTTCATATAAAGTGGTGGGTACTTTATCACATTCCAAACCACATTTCTCTCGAATGAGATGTATCATAGACCTTAACCACACACATTCTCTACTTGCTTCATGAATAGCTATTATTTCAGCATGATTAGATGAAGTGGCTACGATGGACTGCTTTGTAGATCTCCAAGATATGGCAGTCCCCGCACATATAAACACATAGCCTGTTTGGGATCGAGCTTTGTGTGGATCAGATATATATCCTGCATCAGCATAACCAACAAGATTTGGGCTACAATTAACAGAATAAAATAAGTCTATATCAATTGCCCCTTTAAGATATCACAAAATGTGTTTGATCCCATTCCAATGTCTCCTAGTAGGAGCAGAACTATACCTAGCTAACAAGTTAACAACAAAAACTATATCAAACCTTGTAGTATTAGCAAGATACATTAGTGCACCAATTTCACTAAGATATGGTACTTCAGAACCAAGAATTCTTCATCCTTTTCTTGAGGTCGGAATGGATCCTTATTCACATCAAGTGAACGAACAACCATCGAAGTACTTAATGGATGTGCTTCATCAATAAAGAATCTTTTCAACACTTTTTCTGTGTAGGCAGATTGATGAACAAAAATACCATTTGTCAAATGCTCAATTTGCACACCAAGACATAATTTTGTCCTTCTTAGATCTTTCATCTCAAATTCATTCTTTAAATAATCAATTGCCTTTTGAAGTTCTATGGGAGTTCCAATAAGATTTATGTTATCAACATAAATAGCAAGTACAACAAATTCCGATATTGTTTTCTTTCTAAAGACACGTGGACAAATTGCATCATTTGTATAACCTTCCTTAATTAAATACTCACTAAGACGATTATACCACATGCGCCCAGATTGCTTCAAACCATATAATGATCTTTGCAATTTAATTGAATACGTTTCTTGAGATTTTGAATTACATGATTTAGGCATCGCAAATCCTTCAGGAATTTTCATGTATATCTCATTATTAAGTGATCCATAAAGGTAGGTTGTAACCACATCCATCAAATGCATTTCAAGTTGCTCATGGACTGTGAAACTAATGAGATAACTCAATGTTATTGCATCCATAACGGGTGAGTATGTCTCTTCATAGTCGATGTCAGGCCTTTGAGAAAATCCTTGTGCCACAAGGCGTGCTTTATACCTTTGTATTTTATTTTTCTCATTTCTTTTTTGCACAAAAATCCATTTGTAACCAAGAGGTTTAATACCATTAGGTGTTTGAACTATAGGTCCAAAAACTTCACGCTTGGCAAGTGAATTCAACTCTGATTAAATTGCTACTTGCCATTTTGGCCAATCATTTTGTTGTCGACATTCTATAGCAGATTGAGGTTCATGATCCTCATTATCTTGCATGATATTTTTTGCAACATTATATGCAAAGACATAATCAACTACTATTTCTGATCGATTCATATTAGTTTCAACATCTCTTAAATTTATGGATAGTTCATTATTTTTTTGAGTTTCAAGTTCATGATTCTTTCATGAATATCAGACTTATTCAAATTTTGAACTTCCATATGAGATTCTTTCATAGTGTCATCTTGACATTTAATCTTTCTTTTTCTAGGATTTTTATCCTTAGACCCCAATGGTCTACCACACTTTAGGTGTGTTTTTGTCACGACCCAAAACGAGTCGTGAGTGGCACCCACACTTACCTCTTTAGGTGGGAGAACCAACACATCTAAACCCCAACATATACCAATAGTTCAACTATAAATAATATAAATAATGCGGAAGCTCCA